ATAAATGACTGTGGAGACTGTTTAAATCAAAATGAAGAAGAGAGATTTCAGTAGTAAAAGCCAACTTTTCTGGATAATAGATGGTTTTCAGCAGTAAGGGGTGGGTGAGGATGCGGTGATGATTGGATGCGTGCATTCCCGACAAGCAGGACAAAGCCCGAAGGAAGGTTGCTGCTGAGGGGTGAGGGTTGTGGGGCGGCAGGGGGAGGGGGCGGGGGGAGTCAGCAAGCTGAGCCAGGTGAATGTGAGTGGAAGCGCCTATCTTGTAGACATGATTCAAAGGATGTTTGTTACCTAAGGTGAAATTAGTAGAGAATGATAATGAATACATTGAAAATGGCAAGATACTTAATAGTGCCTAGGTTTACATCTTCTTTATATCTCTTTACATCTTCCTGAGAGTACCAATAATGTGCATGAATTACTCTTTCTAGAGTTTCTTGTTTAACATATATTGCTGCTGTGTGGAATTTTTAAAGAGTAAACAATTGGTATAATGTTGCACATTTTCACTGGAAGAACTCGTGACCTGCTGGAGTGCGTGCGCCTTGTGTACCTCTCTCACATTGCAGCCACCTGGTCAGCGGCAGTTGCCAGAGGAACTGGCACAGTGTCTCAGGAGAAGATTCATTTTTCTCCTTCCAGCTTGAAAAACGAAAACCCTCTGACATTCTTTCCTGAAGGAAGTAATGAGGAATAATTCATTTGGGGCCTAGGTTGACAGGTACAGACATCGGGCGCCCTCTCTCCTTTGACTCAGGTCTGAAAGTAGCCCCTTTGGAAGGCAGGGGGCCTTTTCCTGAGAGATAGAAAAGAGGAAGAGCAATGAACTGGAGAGTTCAAGTGACCAGAAGGCTTGGTGGCCAGAGATTGGGGGGCGGTGGGGCGCGGCGGAGACTTCAGGAATGAGGGAGTTGAGACATTAGGAAAGACGATGAAATGGAGACAGTATATGACACAAAGTGATGCCAGATAAAGGTATGACTGGCCTCCAAGAGACTGGAGAGCGAACTGAAATGTGTGCCCTTTGCACTTTTATCTTACCCGTGCCTCCACAAAAGTCCCCTATCAATTCACCAATATTTGAGGATGGTGTGACTTCCTGGCCTCGTCAACCTAGGGAAAGGCTGGGCATCCCCAAACTGAACGTCCTCAGAAATGCAACCGGAAGGAAGAAGGTTTGTCTTCTGTGTCAGAAATGATCCTTCCCAAGCAGATACCACGAATCTCTTTAAAGGAACTGCTTTAGCAGGGACACCAAACTGCACAACTCTGGGGAAGCCATTGGCACCGTAGACTATTTCAGCTCCTTAAGTACTGAGTACTGTGTGTGTGGCCATGTGTGACTGTTCTACAGGATCATACAGCTTTTAAAAAGATCACTATATAACAAGAACTTGGTATTCCAGTCAATCTTCTACTTTGTGTTTATTGATAAAAAGCTCTGCATACTACCATTGAAGCCCTCTTAAATTTGGTGGTTCTAAAATGTTCTCCCCCTTTTCTTCTGTCACTTAATAATTTTTGTAGGCAGTAATAATCTAGGCTTATTTTATTATATTTTTGTTGTCAGTCAGTGGTTCTGAATTGGAGGGGCCAGGCATAACAGAATTACTTGGGAAATGTTGTCAAAATATACTTGCTCAATTTATCAATGGGGTAATGAATGAGCAAATTGTGACATGTATACACATGATGTGATTCCAGGTATGTGAAGTTTGAGGACTAGCAAAACTGCTTTTTGGTGGTAAAAGCCAACCCAGAGAGGTGATACTTACTGAGAAGTCACACCAGGGAAATTTCTGTGATGGTGGACATTTATTGTCTGGGTGGTGAATGTATCCATATGAAAGAGGCATCAAGTTGTTATGTACACTTAAGATTTGTATTTTTTTATTGAATGTGAATTATATCTCAATACTGTCTAAAATATAAATCCGCATATACATACACCCATCCAAGTCTCTACTTTAGACCTAGAGAATAAGATGAATAAGCTATGGGAGCAGGGGTACTGAGAGAATGTGAATTTTGAAAAAGTTTCCACTTTCTTTCCCTCTATTACTGTGAACTGCCATATCTCCTTTTAGGAATTGAAATTAGACCCAGGATAAAAAAACAAACAAAATAATAATAATAATAATAATAATAATTTTATATCCAGTTTTATGTATCCTTGATTCCTAGAGATCATCAGTTTTCCCAAGAGAGCCTATTTACTTTCCAGTTTGCTTTGATTAGGGAACTTGTTTTGTGTGGCTTCCAGTGACTTCAATGTTTTGAAGGCATAAAATTAATAAATTAATGTGAGGAACACATTAAGGTAGGAAGAATCATGGAGGCTTATAACAACGTGAAATATTTCGGGGGATATCTTTATCGACAAGTTCCTAAAATCACAAAACTTTAATCTGTAGTGATGTCTATGGGACCTATCCAGTCAACTGAGCTCCTGTTCACTCTGATGCACATTGAGGAGACTTGAATGTGATGCAGATTTAGGAAATTGGTTGCTTTTTTCTTTTCCTTTTTGAAAGAAGCTTGTGATTAGCTTTTACATCTTTATCCAAAGTATGAAAGGGGAGCATGAACAGGTTTTTTCACTTCAAGTTGGACTTCCTACTCAAAAAGTAGTCTTATTTGCACTTTCTGTGATCTACTCTAAAGAAAGAGAAATGTGGCCGGTCAGATATACTAAATGGGCTTTTAAATAAATAATGTTAAAAAAAAATTTTTTTTAGAAGTAAAACTGTTTAAATTAAAACAGAGTCTATAGGGTTAGTACTAAATCTTAGGGGTTTTTGTTTGTTTGTTTGTTTTTCCCATTGAACACTCTGCAGCATTCCCAATATTCATTTTGATTCTGGAGGCTGTGAGAAAACAGCCCTCTCCCTAAGACATCCTGTCTTTACCACTTAGCTTCCTCCCTAGGCAGACTGTCTGCCTGCTATACATTTTTCCAATGGTTAGGCCTTGGCAGGACCTCAGACATGAACTAACTGAACCACGCTGGGACCTCCATGTCACACTCCACTTAAAAAATAAACTCAGGCCTAAGGCGAAGTGGCTTGCTCAGGGTCACAGGGCTGGTGAGAGGCAGAACCATGGTCCTGTCTCTAGGCAAGTCCTTTGCTCACTCTTCGATATCACGCTGGTCTTGTAGTTGTGGTCTCGCAGTCTTAGAACAATAAACAAATGCCACTTCCTCTCCTTTAAGATCCCAAGAGGCGCCCATCCTACCTCAGAGAAAGAGTAGGAGGTTGGGCTTTACCTGGGGAGCCTGCAGGGTTTCCGTATCTTTAACCTTAATCTCATTTTGTCCAAACGTTGAAGAGATAAGTAGCTTTCGTTTTTTTTTTCCGGCTAGACTGTGCTCCATTATCAGATTTTACTGCTCCCTGACCCTTGGTGAGATATGCAATTTCTTCATGCCTCACTTTCCATACTTTTCAGGCCATGGAAAGGTGCTCCCTAGTTTTCTTTGGAAATTCATCAAGTCCACACACATTGAAACTATCCATAGGAAGTTTGTGAAACTGATCTTAATTCCCTTGAACCTCCCCCTTCTACCCGTTTGGAGTCTTCTCCACTTCGGATGGGTTTAGAGATTATCAGATGCTCAAAGAAATCAGTCACCACAAATTTGCACATCATGGGTACAATAGGCTTTGCTTTTTAGTTTCCCGTTCTTTTCCCCATGAGGCACAGGGTTTTTGTATGAGTTGTGGGACAGCGAAGTAATTCGGAACAGTATCTTCCCTGACAATGACTTCAAATACCCTTTTCAACCTAAGAAAAGGCTGGGCTTGAGTCCTGGTGAGACAGTAGGTTCCTAAGGCATGTTTTTAGTTATGCAAAGGACCGCATAAATGCAGGCAAACTCTTTAATTCTACAGCTGCTGAAACCAAGGCTTTCAGGATGGAATACCCCTCAGTAATCCAATCGGTCACCAGCAGGGCAAGGCCTAACACTCTTGTCCCTCTCCTGGCTCCGCGCTTTTCCACCAAAGCGGCTGCGTCTCATTAACTCCACCTCCGAAAGTGCTAAGGGAGTTCCCTCCCAGTGCCTACCCTGGCAGGGTGGGGCGAGTTTGTGGCTTGGAAAGAACCGGGAAAGGGACCTATTCCGACTCACAGCAGCCAGCCAGGAGAGGGGCTGTGTAGGGGATGGGATGTGGGGGGCGGGTTAAGACACCAAGACTAGCACCCTGAGGTTCCGGGTGTTCTGGAGAGAGAACTCTGAGACTGGCTCTCGGTGAAGCCACCTTACTATCTCCTGGTCTACCTCCCCTGGCAGTGGCTGTAAGGGGGTGTCCTGCTGGGAGAGCTCCCCACTATAGGACGGAATGTGCTTGCTCTGCGCCGGAGCGGGCAAATTGCTGCCACTGCCCAGTGTCCGCTGTTTTAGGAGGTCTCGGTGGGATTTTCCCGTCTTCTCGCTTTTCCCCCCGCGCCGGGAGCGGCGCGAGGTTGGCGTGGCTGTGGTCGCTTTTCCTTAGCCACTCCTGCGACGCTTACTCCAGGGAGTTTAATCCCGTCCTCCCTCCTCAGCCACCACCTTCTCAAACGTTGTCCAAACCTGCCACGTTAAAAGTGCGCGACTTCTCCCGGGCCTGCAGAAGGAGCTCCTGCAGCCCGGCATTCCTCGGATTCCAGCGCTGTGACGTCCCCCGGGACTGCACGCCTCAGCTCCAGAGCCCGGGATCCACGTTTCCGCGCTCCCTGAGCGCGCTCACGGCCGCATTCCTCCCGCGCTCGGACGCGCGCCCAGGCTCCCTCCGCCTCCCGGCCTCCAGCGCCACCGAGCCGGACCCGGGGGTGGGGGAACCGTGGCCGCTGGCGCCTGTTCCGTCCCCTCCCACTCGCACGGCCCCTTCCTCCCTCCTCTCTCGGCCGCTTGCGTTTCCTGCCGCTTGGGTTCTCGCGGCCCTTAAAAGTTTTTCCCAACTTTTCCTTCCCGAGCGGGCGCTGCGGGCGCAGGCAGGGGGCAGGTTGCTGCGCTCCTGCCCGCTCAGCTGCCTACCCTCCGGACTAAGGTCCTCGGGGAGCGGCAGACTCAAAGTGACCGCTGGCGGTCCTTCCCCTCCCACTTCAGCCTTCCTTCCCCGGCCTCCTGGCCTCGTCCCCCTTCGGGCGGGACAGCCCTGGGCTTAGGAGGCTCTTCTTTTCTCCTGCTTCGTGTGCCCCTGTGCCGACTCTCGCGCTGGGATCGCGGTGGAACCCTCCCTCCCCTTTCGCCTCCTCTGGCTCTTTCCCTTCGCCCCTCCTCCGCCAGCCACTGGAATCAATTCCTTGGGGAATTGGGGCTCCGCCGCTGCGGCGGAGGGACAGCCTTTCCGCGCGGGACTCCAGGGCTCTCCAACGGGGCCATGTAACCAGGTAAGTGCCGTCTGGGGCGGGGAGTTGGGCCGGAGATTGGGGACCGCCTGGGTGCCCCGGGCGCCTTGCGGATGACTTGGGCAAAGGCTGGCAAAGCCAACTTGGAATCGGCGGCTCGGGACGCGGACAGGGCAGCTGGGGCGCGAGGTGTCCGGGCCTCAGGAGTTTTCTGCGGCGGTGGGAGCGGCCCGCCGGGAGGCGCACGGCTTGTCTCGGGAGTTAGGTGGAAAGTGAGAGCTGTCTGGGTAGTTTTTGGTTAAACGCGCCCCCTCGCCCCCTCCTCCTTATTACCTTCTGCATTTTGGGCAGGAGAGAGGGCCTGGAAAAGGCATCTGGGGATACCCAGGGGCTGGGGACAGGACGAGAAAAGACGACGACAATGCTGCCGCTCCAGCGGGATAGGAATGCGGCTCCCCACCCTCTTCTGGCCCCCCAGGGGCACAGGATCTTGGGAGGGAGAAGAGTTTTTATGCCGTCCTGCTAGGCCCCAGACGTGCCACCAAGCTCCCGGGCTCCTTGGCCCCTACTTGGGTGGTCAGGCTGGCTCAAAACTTGTGCCCACAAAATTTCAGAATGGGTCTGCCTCTCAAACTTTACAACTTCTGTGTGTTAACAACTTCTGAGGGTGGCGGTAGTACACTCTCTCCCCCTTTTCCCTGGCATGAGCCCTAATTCTGGATTTTGAATACTTGTAAGTGGGGCTACCACCTTTTTGAAGGAGCAGAGAGGTAGCTCTGCCACTCCCTTCATTTCCCGTTCCCCTCTGTTCCCGCCGCCCCCACCCACAATGTAGGGAGACTGGGGGGTTTTCGGGAATTGGCTGGTGAGGACTCTCCGGACTGCAGGCTGCATATGTGGTTACAGGGTTTCCCCCAATGTGCTAATTTAAAGTGCACGAGTTCAGTCATTCTTCCACAGACCTAGCATTAAGCTTCTGCTCTGTGCTAGGAACAAGGGACACAAAGATGCTGTAACAAGATCTCACTGCAGCCTGGCAGGGGACAGGAAGATTCTTCCCCGGTGAACTGGGAATTGCAGTGTGGTGAGAAGCGCAAGGGGAAGCTGGTCCTGGAGGAGGGGGGGAAGTGTGCGGCCACTCACCTGGAGGAAACAGGTAGCGGAAATGGCTTGTGCCAAGGGAGAGTCATCCAAAAAACCTGTACGCTGGAGGCCAGTGTAACAGGGACAGCATTCAAAAAATTATAAAATAAATACATACAAGCCAGAAATTAAACTGGAAGCGTGTTACCCGCTTATGGGAACCGAATATCTTCCCGAGGAGCTTGGGCTCTCCTTTTGGACACACTACACACACGATGCCGTTCCTGCTGGGCCACGAGCAGCAGTTGTGCGACCATCTACGTTTTAATCGGCATTCATTGGCCGATGCCGTGTTTCATTAGAACAGCGCTGATTCCCTTTTCAAGAGCAGCTTGACTGCCACAGGTTATCGATAACACTGCAGCATTACAGGCGCTTGTATGAAAGTTACCTGTCTTTCGGTGACGGCGTTCACAGTTTGTGCCATAGCGACGATAGCCTTGATGCCCGGGAGCTGAACAGCGCGGTGCTCTTTCCCCCAGTCGGAACGGATGGCCCTGCCCAGCACAGTGAGTGTGTGTACCTGTGTCTGTGATGTGAGAGTGTGCGCTGCTTTTAGAAGTCATTATTGCTTGAGCACGGTTGTAAGCACTCCATTTCCTTCTTCTGAAACTTTGTAGAAACTGGGTATCTTCTGCCTGGTTGTCGTGCAGCCGGATGGCCCAGGATTCAGCCCATCCTGCCTTGGAAAGGTCCTTCTGGCGCGGTAGCGTCCTCTGCGTGGTTTGCCTTTCAAGGGTGCCCTTCGCTGGGCTGGAGTGGTGTTGTAGTATCATCCGTAGTGGCTGAGTCCTGGCCGAGGTGGCAGAGGGCCAGGGCTCAGTGACCTCAGGCCAGTCCATCGGAGTGGGAAGAGCACAGGGACTAGCTACAGCCTGGGATGTTGACCAAGCCCCTCCACAGACCCGGGCTTCATCCCCAGAACAGCCCCGTGACGGGAGCTTGCCTGAAGGTCTAGGACCTGCGTGCGAGAAGCCGCTGGAGAGAAGCTCTTTCTTGCTGATCCCAGGCACCTTCCCGGCTCCTGCCACTGGCTTGAACACATAGTTACTAGAAAGACTTTATTATTCAGGTTTGTGCAATCTCTGTTGCATGGACAACCGTAATGGAAAGAACAGTTAAGACTATTTTAATATGGAAAACCCTAAAGAATTCAGAGAACAGTCAGACTTTTTAGGAGTGTTCTTACTTGCCCTGAGTGGATGGGCCAGAGGTCAAGAACTATGACGATTTTTCCCCCACCCCATTGCAGCCTTATTAAAGACTTGTGTTTTTTTCTGCTCTTAAAATGGGAAACAAACGTAAGCCCTTTGATTGCGCATTGTAGCCCATGTGGGTTTTATATTTTCGTTCTTTTTCACGTCCTCTCCTGCATTTGAACCTCTTTGCGGGCTCACCAAGAGCTGTGTACTGTTTCGACTCCTCTAAGCCCCAGAACAGTGCTGTGTGCTTTGTTGGAGATAAGGCGAAGAAAAGAGATACGATGAAATACTTAATTAGGCGATTAAAATCATTGCTGCTTGTGCTGATTAAAAAAAGAGCAAGGGAAAAGAAACAAGTTTTGGTAAAAAGGAGGTTAAGATTAGTGTCTAAAAGAAGGCCGTGATCCCTCCTTATGTCTTGATTTGCCCTTCGCCCGCCTGAGCCCCATGGAGGGCGTAGCGAGGGTCCCAGGGGTGTGTGTGGCCAGTTCTGAGGCTTTCCTGGCGAAGTGGCCAGAGCAGGGAGCCGGGGGAGGATTTGCAAACAGAGCTAGTTTGGAATTCCGGCTCTACCACCTTTTACCTGCGGGGTGTTGGACGCCCTTCAGAGTCTCCAATTCGGCCTCCATCTCTTTTCACCTACGTGATGGGGCCAGTAGCTTCCGACCTGGCAGGAGGTTTTGGAGGATTCAGTGTGATGCTGTCTGGGCTCCTGCTAACACAGTGCCTTGCACAGGGGAGGTAGGTGCTGGGTCAAGGATGGCTATTTATGTGTTCGGGGAGTTCTGTGTGGCCCTGAATGTGCTCTTTATGTCATTTTCCCCCAGCAGCCTGAATTCACATGTGTGCCAACATACACATAAAGCTTTGTCTTGGACTTTTTTTTTTTTTGGTCTATTGGCTCAAAGCAAATGTGTTGGCTGGCAGCTGCCATGGGGCCCCTCCCGTAGGAGGAGGTTGACAGTTGCAAGACCGGGCAGTAGGGAAGCTTGAGGAAGGAAAGCCACTTAGAGGAGGACCGAGAAAAGGGCCCTTTCCCCTGTGCACTACCTGCTGTAGCAAGGGTCCGGGACTCATGTGAGGACCCGATATTTCTGATGTTGAAATCCAGTTGAAGAATGTTCGAGGGAATGTGCCCGCCTTTTGCAAGAAGGCAAAAGCTTCACAAACGAATGTCTTTTTGCAACCTGATTTCCTTCTTTGAAGCCCAAATGTGGAGTCAACTTCAACACCTCTGCTGGACCGCCAGCCTTGGGTCCCTTGGGCTTTAATGTTGCCTTTCATCTGAGAAGCCTAAAGTACTTGACAAACATTAACTCTCTTGATCTTCATATCATCCTCCCAGGAGGAGGGAATGTTAGAAGAAAGAACAAGTCAGAAAACATCAGTAGGGCAGGTGTGTTCTTGAAGGGAAGTGGATTGTCGTAGAGCAGAACTGGTTGAGCTGCATGTAGCTTGCGTGCAGGCCAGGAGGGCAGGGGGAGAAAGCCCAGGACGAATGCAGATCTGGCTGGGAGTTCTGCCGCGGGAACGGGGAGGAAATCCACGTCGCCCAGACCAGCCGTGCCTTTGCCGTACACTGCATGCCTGCTGATTATGAAAATAAATAATCTCCGACTTATTTATAATTCTGAATGAAAGGATGTGATGCAATACTTGTGGATAAGAATTACAGTTGCTGAAGATAAAAGGTAATGGCGACTAGAAGTAGCTTTTTGTGGTATAAGGGTGGTTGTGCATCTAATGTTGGATTATAAATGGCGTATTAACATTGTCTTAGTTTCCTTTCCCTTTTTCCTGTTGGCTCTGTATTCCTTGGCTTGGTTTTGTCTTGCTCTCCCGACATGCTTTTGTTTGACTTGCCTCATGGTCCTTGCTATCAGTAAAAACCATACTGTGGCCATTCTTAGATCAATCTTGTGTGTAAAATTTGATATGTGGCTGATTTAGCTTAGTTCCTTAGGGGACTAAATTAGGCTGATAATTAGCTTGACCCAGAGGCCTGGTGCATATCCTGTAACTGTAGGCGGCCACCCCATAAATGCTTGATGTTGGTCAGCAGGGAGGTGTCTGGGGGAAAATGAGAACGGGATCGACTGGTGCCACCACGTCCTCCCAGAAGCAGAACATCCTCTTCACGCTTGTGGTGGTTGACATTTTCAGTAGTGAACTAACTATGTTCCCAAAGTAGGAAGCTTTACGGGCTGTACCACTGACTTGATCTGATTTGCCTCCCAAGTTCTTAGCTCCCAGGGAAAGATCACTCGTTAAAAATCAGCAAAAGTTCCTAGTGCTTATTTTTGCATAAAACATCTTTTACTAAAATGTTGACTGAATTTCCTGAAGTCTTTGGAAATCCATCTCCTGGGAGTTCTTTCTTTCACACTCGTGCCCCTCGAGTGATCGGGGCATTAGCTAAGGCAACAGGGCTCAAGGGCGCCGGTGCCGACAGCCATCACCGGGAGGGCTTGCTGGAACTGGGGTGCCCTTGCCCAGGCCCCGCCCGCTTCTGATTCAGTAGGTGCGGGGTGGAGCTGAGATACTGGAACTCAGCAATGCTAAGGCTGCTGGTCCTTGACCAACTGTGCTTTGACACTCCTGGAGCTGAGGATTCTTGTTTTGGTCCTTCCCCCCGCCCCGCCCGGGCCCAGGCTTCGCAGGGAGTCACTGAAGTTTTTCACTGCCTCGGTTTGACTC